TAACATCAAGAAACAGAATCAAGAGTTAGTGTGTTGCAATGTAAATTATGAAGGGTTTAATTCCTCCACTGATGTTTCAGGAATCTAAAGACTCTCCAACAAACAGTAATCAAAAATATTAGTCATTTATGTTTATTACATGGCCTTGAACACCATGGTCTAGTTAGTATCACCCAGTACCAGTGTTTCAATAAGTATTTGTGCAGGTCTGAGCGGGTCAAACATGAATGAGTTTATCTGAATGTCATTTTTCATTCTGCAGGGTAAATACATACAGCAAAGCCATCATTAACCTACAATGATGAACAGCTGTGAAATTTACAAAAACTAAACCCATTCCACCCACAATCCACACCGTGTTATCACATGGCTCACCACTGCCATGACTGGATCAAATTGTACGTTAGTGAGCAATGTTTCAGAGACACAGTGAAAGTGCTGCACTTTTAGAAACATGTCACTTCCCTTGCATTTCATAATCATTCCGCGGCACAGGCCTGTTTTCTGACTGATGATCTCATGAAAACTTTCCTCCTTTTCCTCCACAGTTCACTGTCACTTGCCATCTTAGGCAACCTCTAAGACAGACCAAAAACACATATACTGTTATGCTTTACTTATTTTAAGCAACACAGGAGATGCAGAGTAAAAGTCTAAGTGCCTCAGAAATAGCAGTAAAACTCTGTGCCATCCCAAGCAACAAAGTCAGAGCAGCAACCCCCCCCCCCCCCACTGGAGCCTTCAGTCCACACAAACACTACTGAAGCTGCTTGCTGCTTGCATGACCCAGTAACTTCACTGGCAGCATGCGCCAGAACGCCCTGCTTTGAAATCTGCCCTTAACATCATTTTTAAAGACTTTGCACGCAGGGATCGCTGACGCTACCAAACTTCAGCAGCGTCACTGCCGCCAATGGCATCGCTGAATGACCATCTGAGTTGCGGTTGCCATGGCGAAAAGCAAGCTGGTACCAGGACCCCCCCTCCTCCATTACCACCCTGGAGTGCGAATCAACACACTCACTCGCTTGGCACATGTACGTTTGGGGAGGGGGTTGGTTCTAAAGGTGGGCCTGAATGAAGACAAGGAGTTCTGGGACACAAGCACGCTTTTATTCTTCTTATACGAGGAGCTTTTTGAGAAGTGAATTAAAAACACTGCCGCGACGAGCACCCGTTTGACAGCCACACTGATGTGAACAACTATGTCCTGTTGGTCCCAGTGTGAAGTCTCCTCCCCATGGTAACCTAAATGAGAGTGAGCGTGCTTCCAGTCTTTCCCCTCGGCCGGTTAACTACAGTACAAAATAAACCCAAAGGCCACAGACTGACCTCAAATTGATGCCGTCCAGGCAGGATGCAAGAAACCACTGCGATTAATGAGTCTTACCACCCTCATCAGAGACCAGAGAAATAAGGCAAAATAAACGGTAGGAACCTATTAAACAATGAATTAGAAATTAACTTTGTGGGACCAACTGCATCTAGGACAGGACAACCAAGCTCCATCACCCAGACAGAGGCTTACAGAATGTCGCCCTGGGCTTAGCATGAAAGTCACATGGCTCCTGTCCCCCTGCAGCTGAGCACACGACTGAGGTAACATGTCCCCCACCTAGCAGAGAGAACCACAGACCCCCAATACTGGGGGGGGGGGACTGCTAGACACAAAGACCATTTGAAAATCCACTGTGCCTATGGGCTTGGTGGCTAGATCACTATCCCAGCACTGGCTTCCTGAGGACACAGAGTAATCAAGCTTAGGGGATTGTATTGCATTTACATAATGCAATCAACACCCCACTCTACAACTGCTGACTGGCAACAACTCACTGAGATGAGAGTACCGCCAGGCCGTCTGATGGGAAGCCAGTGCCATCCCACTGCAGCCTCCCATTTTAGAGGTACTGCAGGCCAACCTACCCACCTCAACAGGCACCACTACGTCAACCAAATGCATTTCTGTGGAGTGACTGACACTGAGCAGAGATGGTATGAGCAGACGAAGAGACGATCATACCCTGTTAGGCTGATCTGGGCGCCAGCCAACAGGGGATCACCTACAGGCAATTTGGCCTCAGCACATTTTTGGACTGTGGGGGGGGGGGGGGGGAGACCAGAGTACCCGGAGGAAACCCCCCGACAACATGGGGAGAACATGCAATCACCACACAGAACCCAGGAAGAGACTCGAACCCAGGTCCCAGAGGTGTAAGGCGGCAGTACCAACGACTGCACCACCATGCCGCCCCTAAACCTTTCCACTATATGTTATATCTACTCAGTCGTCTAGTGGCCTTTCACTTTGTACACTCAACTCACGAAAACAAAAAATTAGCACGGCTTAGTAAAAAGGACGTTTATCATAATGAGCACGGTAAATTAATGCTGCTGCACCAAAGCGTGAGAAGACAAATTACCTTCTGATTACGCACAAACAGAAGCACGCAGGAAAATCCATCTCATTTAAACACATTAGCAAAGTGATTATGCATATTTAATCTGAAAAATGTGAACAGGGAGGTTTAGCTAGTGGAGAGTAGAAGGGGAGGAGAGAGAGTTGTGCAGGGATCAGCAGGCAAGCGTCACCCGATAGTAGGTTTCATATGGGGATAGCAAGAGGTGAATCGGCATATAAGAATGTTCTGGTCCACCCCACTTAAGAAAAATATTATACAAAAATGACAAACACACACACAGACTGAGCAATTACATCAGAATGCAGACCATGGAAAAAGTGAGTCTCTAGATGCCTTGTTATATATCCATCAGAAGGCATAACAGTGTTTTCCAGAAACCAGTCCTCCATAGATCTAAACAACAGTTTTTTGTGTTATGTCGTCCTTCTTCCCCAAACATGACTTTAAAAGGAAGGGAAACTTCACTAACCCAGTTTAATTTTGGGGAATCTGGTGTTGGAATCTGATTTTCTTGCTTAAATTCAATGAATATCCCCACTTTTACAAATGTGTGGTAACTTAATTCTTTCCAGAAGAATCACTGTGGGGGCGGGAGGTGGAGCGAAGGTAAAGGAAAAAACACATTTACGGAATTAATATGTGCTTCAGGAAAGTCTCACATCTTGCCATAAAAGCAGCCTCCAAGACCAAATTCGTGGGGTGTCACAGAAGAACATTTTCCACTTTGCCAAAGGGATTTTTATAAAGATACATTCATTCGCACTGAAAGACTGCTGTGGAATTTTGAGGGAGACTGGTTCCTCATCTTCAAAAGGCACCTGCATACTATACATTTCATGGAGTTCTGCTCACCTTGGGGGGGTGGTTTTATGAACATTTCATCCTGTCCCACTATCTGTCGAAAAAAATGGGGCACGCACGCAAACACACACACACACACACACACGGATTGTCCAAAAGATTCTCCCAGAGAGATCTCACCTAAAAAGCAATCACAAATAACCTAACAAAAGCAGCACCTTGCACTAATTTATTCGGCACTGGGAATCATGATTCTGACAATGTTCATATGCTGCCATACACTGAATGTGCCAGAAAAACCAGCCAGAGACTTGCACAGACTTGCACAGAGCATGATACAATACAGGCAAGTGTGATGTAAAAAACTGTCTTTGTAAAATCAAATTCCTCTGAATATTGAATAATGTTATTTGAACAAAGATGGTTATTCGAGGACTGGAAAGAGAATTGTGTCACGAAAACGTATGACAAACTTCTTGCACCTTCTGCAGTCTCAGAGATAAAGTCAACCAATAAGAAAATCCGATTCCCCTCCATTCCAGAATGGAATCACCTTATGGAGACATTCCAGTCTTCTAGGACACACCCCTTCTGGACAGAATACAGTCATTACATAGTGCAAGTCACATGGCTAAGTGCGGGAGAGCACTCTTCCGACAACTGGAAAACCTCAAACCAGTCAGGCTCTCAACTGGTTTGAATGACAGTTGGTGCCAAACCTCTCAGAAACTACGATGATGACAAGTAATTTTCTGTGGTTTCACAACTCCCATTATCAGCTGAGCCGACGATGAGGCTCAGAAACACAAGATGACTCAGTCTTCTAGACGTATTGGAAGACTGCCTCAAAGAACTAAGGCAGGCAAGAACATCAAACATGAAATGAAAGTGAAGTATTCGAGCTTGATGGGCGAAACCCTCTCACCCGAATGAACATGGCATAACCGGATTCCACTCCCAGTTCGCCTAACAGACACACGATGCCATTCAAACCACAGCTGTGGACGAAAACCAGGGACTTGCTCTAAAACACCAGCTCAAGCCGTCTCGGTGACCCTTATCAGTCACTCCCATGTGTTAGATACACAGGGAGCACGCCACCGCAGCCTAATGCTCAGCAGCAGCGACTCCCAGCCAAGCCCTCATTGCTACAAACATCACACGGGAGACAAAGCAGCGGGAACAGGTTCAGCGGAGTCAGTGAGCTTTCCCAAGTAACCCAAGGCCACCAAATTTGGATTGCAAAGGTTACGGCATTGGGAAATCATGCACACCTCAGTCAAGACACAAAACGCCACCTCCTTCCCGGAAGGTGGCCAGCATTCGTGCCAATTTCCCGGAGACGTCAGTGTCTCTCTTGAGCATGACCAATCTCATACCTGCTTGGGAACAGTGAGTCACGCTACATCGTTTAACACGTACTCCGCTGATCACTTGGCCACACTCGCCATGAGGCAGCCAAGTCTCATTGCAGGCTACTCATCCTGGCACCACATGGATAAACAAGGTGACACCACAGGAGAATAACACTTGGGACCCCATTAAATTAAAGCATGCCGCAAAAATGTGGGTTTCCATGCCAAGCAATTCCTGTGTTTTATATGTCATTCCGATGATTCATTTTACTTGTACCTTAGGGCTACTTATGGCAACATATGCAATCAAGCACAAGACTACTTGTTTGCGATAAGTATTCTATAAAATATGCTGACAGAGAACTGAAGATAGGTTCCACACAGAGGCTGTCCACATCAAAATGGACCTAGAGGTAGGACTCACTTGGATCTCCTCAAATGCGTCATCTATGGTGGTCACCTGGTGCTGCTCATGCAAGGCAGGTTCGTCACAGAAGAAGCACACCAGGTTCTTGTCACTGAGGCAAAAGAGCTTGACCTTCTCGTGGTCTTTGCACGGGTAGGAGCTCCGCTGCGCGCTGAGGATGGCATCCAATGGGAAGGCGGAGTACCGTTCCACGATATTGGACAGCTTGAGGCTTGGGGACAGTAGTGGGTCTGCGAAGGTTCTCCGACACTCGGGACAGTCCCGAGTGCCGTGGTGTTCCTGCCTGCTCCAATGCTCAGTGATACACTTCCGGCAGAAGTAGTGCTCGCACCCAAAGCTGACAGGATCTTGGTAAATGCTCAAGCAGATTGAGCAAAGGAGTTCGTCCTTCAGACAGCAAGCCATTTACATGTACGGACCACCTGCTGGACGCAAAACTCAGTCAAGGCTGCTGTTAATCAAACGAGGTATGACGCTTGGGTCGCGCTGGGAGGTTTTGGAGAAGTTTACTCGGCGGTATCTTCTCAGGCCGGCGATCTCACAGACCCCTGCCTCTCGCGAACAAGCGGCTCCTACGGCTGGGAAAACGATAGAAAAAGAATAATTAGCATAGGTGGTGTGTGTGTGTCCCACAGAAGAGCAGCCCAGTCAGGAGTTGAAGAAAGAAATTAAGATCTAGCGGCGCTGCCCTCGAACGGATGAAAAGAACAATCGTTAGGAGACAGGCGATAACCCAAGACTTCGCTCGCTCCTTTGCTATTAGCCAGCTAGCACACCAACCGACGCTTCCCTTTCCTATTATTATTTCACCCACGACGCCAAACACTACCCTGCAGTTTAAAGACGACTGTGGCGTTTTCGGTTTCACACTTTACCGCGTCGGGTACCTGCGGTTTCGGCGCAACACCGGTGTTTTCCTTTTGTGCTCACAGTAATTTTCAGCCAGCTCCAGCACCTCCTTTCCTGCCCCTTTGGCCGCTCTGCCAGCTGCAGCTCCGGGAGTCAGGTCCTACCCTGCGCTGTGGGACAAACCAAGCCGTCACCTGCCCGCACCGCAGGGGCGTCTGTTTTCACTTAGTTCAAACTCAGTCAGAACCTGACAAGTTCAGATAAAATTGAGCAAAATCACAGTATATTAGAACAATGATAAATTTGATTAATGCTTTTAAAACTGCGTGGTTTTGTAAATATCTAACAAATGTTGCTATTTAATCGCGCAATACACCCCTATTTCTGGGATTTGAAGATCCGTTCCTACCAAGGAAAGAGCGGAACAGCGCCGTGGGACAAACCAATCCTCCACCTGTGTGCAGTGCGGTGGGGGGGGGGTGATGCCGATTGATAATATTTACTCACAACTTTACCCTTTTTATCTGGAAAGGTAGCATTGTCTAATAACAATGACACCGTTGAATGTAATTTTGTCTAATTTTAATATGCATATTTTCATAGATTTTTGAATATGTTTTCTCATTTAAGCGAGGTGAGGGAATGTGGGACCCCATGCAAAATAATGGGCATTAATGACTTCCTCATTTTTCGGCCACTTTGAGGTCTCTGTTCCCTGCAACAGGGAGCTGAGTGAGTGAATGAAGGAAGGATGCTGCTCGTCTGCAAATCAAGCACTGTGATATTTAATTCTGTTTAATATGCTAGTTTATACTTCTGATTGCCTTGTAGTTTGTGTTATTTGTGCTATATTTCGATATATTCTCAGACAGCTTGACCAAAACCCACTGAATTGACCATCACATGATATCAACGTATAAAGGGAAACGTTATTTTATTTTATTGTGTATCTGCATACTACACGAGCATGTGTTTTGTATATCAAGTTCTAAACAATGAGGTCAAAACTTAAGAAGTATTAAAATGTTGGGAGGCTTGGGCTGCTATCAGGTTCCCAAATAGCAGTAATAATAATAATCATCATCATCATCATCATCATCATTTGGAATGTTTGGCACCATGTTACTCCTCACAAGACCATTGACCTCCTATGCGGGGGAGCTACGGACATCAACAGGCAGGTGGCTTTGCAGTGGAACCGCCCACAATCCCTAACACCACGCAGATGGAGAGGGGTAGTGGGCCCCTGCAGCCGCATGACTCTGCTGGCTGATGAAACTCATCTAATCCACCCCCATATCTCCTTAACCTCCTCCCGCAACTTCCGGAAAGGGCTGGCTGCTTCTCCAACCACCAACTAAATCCAGCATTAGATGATGAGTAATCATACTGTTCTCAACACATTTTATAATATAGTGAAAAAACAAGATTTTGGTGCACAGAGATGCAGCATTTTTGCGTCACAGACAAAATCAGGAAAAAGAAACAAGATTCAAATTCAAACATTCAAGGCTAAAATTATGTCTATATTATATATATTATATGTCTATATTAAAATAATCAGCAGCAACAATGACACTGAAACTGTAAATCATTAAATAAATTGAGACAGAACAGCATTAGTTACATAGCTAAATGCCAGCGCATGGTATATACAGATGTGTAGATGATGTCAGCTAGTTGAAGTGCTAGGATAAAATAGATTAAAAAAAAAAAAGATGTCAAGCTCATTTGCTCAAATTCTTCATGTAGTGCATTACAGCTGTTTCATCCATCCATACATACATCTACTCATAAATCCATAAATCCATCCTCATTCCATTGCTCCCGATTGTGGAAGATTGCAACACCATTATCAAAGTGGTCTCAGTAAGTGCAACAACACCACCGGTACTTATAAAGGAAGGATGGGGCATGTGGCTGTTATGCTGAGGCACAAAACTGCCTCTGCAGTGTAACTGCAAAGCTTTAATACATTTTCAGCACCAAAGCTCTAAGGACAAAGGTTTAGAACCACTGGCTTCAAATATAAGGGGATTTTATACTTACCTGTAATAACCACGATCTCCTCATCAGCCAGCCTTCATTATTCTGTTCCGTAGTAAATCCCAAATTAATGCCAATAAAAGGGCAGTGAGACAGAAAACCATCAGTACAGTTTTGGAAGTGTTCTGCCGCCCTTAGTCCCAGTGGCACATGGTATCTGCTGTGTTTTTGTTCCAATCAAACTCTTAATGAATTAAAAGAGATTGAGTTGTTGATTGACCAAACCCTGTGAATCCAATTACTTTAATCTGTTGCTGGCTGCTGGATATTGTATATTGTATCAATATTCTCACCTGGAGAGCACTGGAGGCACTGTGAGAATCATGTTCTTTGACTTCTCCTGTGCTTTCAACACAATGCAGCCGTCACTGCTAAGGGAGAAGCTGAAGGGAGCTGGTGTGTATTGCCATCTGGCTGCACGGATCACTGACTACCTCACTAACAGACCGCAGTATGTGAAACTTTGCGACTGTGTCTGATGTGGTAGCAAGTCTGCAGCACAGGGACTCTGCAAAGCACAGTGCTCTCCCCTTTCCTTTTCACACTGTTCACATCGGACTTCAGACACAACACAGACAGCTGTCACTTCCAGAAGTTCTCTGATGATACAGCCACCATTGGATGGATATCGAAGGGCAACGATCTGGAATATAGGGGGGTCATCGCCAACTTTGTTGAATGGTGTGGAAGGAATCACCTCCTGATAAACGCAGTAAGACAAAGGAGATGGTAATTGACTTCCGCCACAAGGTGACTCCATCTGCACCAGTGAACATTCTGGGAGTGCAGGTACAGGCTGTGTCTGTGTATAGATATCTGGGTGTTCATAAAAACAACAAACTGGACTGGTCACACAACACAGATGCCCTGTACAAGAAGGGGCAAAGGTGTCTCCACCTCCTGAGAAGGTTGAGGTCCTTTGGTGTGTGCTGGACACTCCTAAGGACCTTTTATGACACTATGGTAGCATCTGCTATATTCTTCGTGGTGGTCTGCTGGGGCTGCGGGAGCTCAGGAAGGGACAGGAAGAGACTGAAGAAGCTGGTCAGGAGCGCTGGCTCTGTCCTGGGCTGCTCTTTGGACTCCACTGAGGAGGTGGCTGAGAGGAGGATGCTGGCCAAATTTACATCCATTATGGTCAGTCCCTCTCACCCCCTGCATGACACAGTGAGGACATTACGAAGCTCCTTCAGTAACAGGCTACTGCATCCAACATGCAAGAAGGAACACTTCCACAGGTCCTTCATTCCATCTGCCATCAGACTTTAAAACACCTTAGTCACCTAAAGTTCATAAATTATGTCACTATTCTGTATATTGTGCAATATCCGCTGCATAGGCATACAACTATATTTACATCACTTGGTGCAATCTGTATGTATGTGTATATGTATGTATGTGTATATGTATGTATGTGTATTTTGGGTCTGTGCAATATGTGTAATTGTGTTCACTAATTTTATTACTTATTGTATGTTACAGTACTTTTTTGGTCTGTTTCTTTTCTATTGCTTTGTATTTACTGGCTGTTGCAACAAGTAAATTTCCCCAGTGTGGGATCAATAAAGTCAGTCTGTATGTCTGTCTGTCTGTCTATCTATCTATCTATCTATCTATCTATCTATTCAAGACAACCCAAATACCTCTGACTTGAATAGCCCTCCATAGAATACTACACATTAGATGGAATAATGAGCCCTATATTCTCTTATCAGTCCATAAATTTATTAAACAAGTCAGTGGCTAACACTCTAGCTTCATACCTCTAGGGCTCCGGGTCCGAGCCCTGCTGATTTTCCAGCCTTCCTTCACATGTGAGCCAGGTATGAAGCCTCTGGCCAATCAGAATCAGTAATTATTAAACCAACTACTTGGGAGAACTGAAAACACGACCTGGATTTGGAACCAAGTTCCACAGTTGAATAGCCCTGCTCTATGGCTTGGGGTTCGAAGCTTGCAGTTAGCTCTGTGGGTTTCCTTTTTTGTGTTTGCAAAGGTTTTCTCTTGCAACCCAAAAAAGTACAGCCAGATGAATGGCCTTTAAATTGATGTGAGTGTGTGTCCTGTAATGAAGTGACATGTCACCCAGGATTTCCCTATCTATCTTCCTGGGATGATTACTGTGACTGTACTGAATAAGCATTAATGGAAGATAGACGTATTTACTATTTTCAATTAATTTTTATGCTTGCTATTTTGTGGATCAAATAAGAGGTATATATTATTTATTAGTATTACAAATATTTTTTCTTTCTATTTTCTTTTTATGAAGGTGATGTGTAGCTCAGTGTGTTAGGCTGCTGTGCTGGGGATGGCAAGGTTGCTGGTTCAAATCCCACGATCTGCAGAGTGGCTTTGCTGTTGGGCTCCTGAGCAGAGCTCATAACTCTCAACTGGAGAGAAATTCCCAAGACTCACTACATCCACAATATGCATTTTCAAGAAAACCTCTAGACTTAGTGACTCTCACCTATGGGCGATTTGGTACCTCAACATGTTTTTGCAAACTCCACTCACATGGAGCCATGGCGAAGACTCGAACCCTAGCTCCAGAAGTGTGAGGCACCAATGCTAACCACAGCATCATTTTACATAATAATAATAATAATAATAATAACCATATTTTGTTAATCGTGGTCAAACATAGTACAACATGTAACAGAATCAGCTGATAATAGTTTTGTAGTTATTTTAGACAGACGGTGTGCTTATTACACCCTTGTTACGTATTGGGCAAACGAAGACGGCAGCTGTCACAGGTATAGGATATTGTTTTGGGGAAATGATTATGGATTCTGGTTTCGACCTGTTTATAAAAACATTCGCATTATGTGCTTAAATCCGCTTTTAGCATCCAGTATTAAAAGCATCTTACAAAATGTTCAACAGGCATAAAAATATGCTCTAAGGAACATTGCTTACGATTAATGCCCTGTCAACTTCGAGTCACAGAACGTCCGGAAAGTCATTCCGCCCACTATGGAACCTTACCAAATCTGTTGAAATGCAGTAATTTTAATCAAAAGACCAATCATCTGGCAATGAATTGTCCGTACCATTATTCTTATATCCGAACAAAAGTATAAATACAGAATTATAGGCTACCAAAGAATGGATGAAAATGTTTAATTTCGTTACCTTTAGCTG